TCTATCAAAATCCCAATGTTTTCTTCACAGATATAGAAAAAAATTCATATGAAACCACACACACACACACACACACCAAAAAAACCCCTAAAGAGCCAAAGCAACATTGAGAAAGAAAAACAAAGTTGGAGTCATCACACTCCCTGATTTAAGATTACAAAGCTATAGTAACCAAAACAATATGATATTGTCATAAAAAAGAAACATAGATAAATGGAACAGAATACAGAGTCCAGATATAAACCCAAACATAAACAGTCAAATAATTTTCAAAAAGGGCACCAAAAGCACACAATAGAGAAAGGATAGTCTCTTCAATAAACTGAATTTCCACAAGCAAAAGAATGAAATTTAGCCATTATGCTACACAATACATGTAAATCAACTCAAAATAGATAAAATACCTACGTGTAAGACATGAAACCATAAAACTCTCAAAAGAGAACATGAGAGAAAATCTTCACATTGGCCTTAGCGATGATCTTTTGGCTATCACACCAAAAGCTCAGGCTACAAAAGCAAAAATAAATAAATGAGACTACATCAAACAAAAAACCTTTTATATGGGAAAGGAAAAATAAACAAAATGAAAAGACTACAGACTGGGAAAAAATATTTGCAAACCACATATCTGATAAGGGGTTAATATCCAAAACTTATAAAGAACACTTTACAACTCAACACCAGAAAAACAAATAATTCAATTTAAAATGGGCAAAGGACCTGAACAGACATTTCTCAAAAGAAGACATAAAAATGGTCAACAAATGTATGAAAAGATGCTCAACATAACTAATCATCAGGGAAGTGTAAATTAAAACCAGAATGAGATATCACCTCACAAACATTAGGAGGGCTATTATTTTTAAAAACCAAAAGATAAGTGTTGACAAGAGCGTAGAGAAAAGAGGACTCTTGTACACTGTAGGTAGGAATGTAGATTGGTACGACCATTATGGAAAATGGTATGGAGGCTCTTAAAGAAATTAAAAATAGAACTACATATGATCCAGCAATCCCTATTCTGGGCATATACCCAAAGGAGATGAAATCACCATCTCATAAAACTATCTGCACTCCCATGTTCACTGGAGCATTATATACAATATCCAAAATATGAAAACAACCTAAGTGTCCAGGGATGGACAAATGGATAAAGAAAATGCAGAATATAGATATGGAATGTAACATTACTCAACCTTAAAAGGGAGATCCTGCCATTTACCACAACATGAATGATCTGGAAGACATTATGCTACGAGAAATAAACCAAACACAGAAAGAAAAATATTGCATGATTTCACTTATATGTGAAATCTAAAAAAAGGAAAAAATGTCATATACAAAAATAGAGACTAAAACAGTGGTTACCATTGGCATAGAGAAGGTATTGGGGAAAGGAAATGGGGAGATGTAGGTCAAAGGATACAATGTAGCAGACATTTAAGATGAACAAGTCTAGAGATCTAGTGTACACCATGACGATTACAGTTAATTAAATTGCATAGAGATTTTGTTAAATAAGTAGATTTTAGCTATTCTTGTCACAAAAAAAATGTAACTATGCGAGATGACAGATATGTTAATCTGCTTCACCACAGCAAGCATTTTACTATCTATATGTATTCTTTAACATCATGTTGTTAACCTCAAATTAAAAAAAAAAAACAAAACACAACAGTATGGCTGCTATAGAGAGAGTACAGGGCGCCCAAAATGGGACATAGCACCTTGGGGGAGAGGGTGCTGAGTAAGAAAGTCCAGGGGAGAGATGAAGTTGCTATGGTTAGAAGGCAAGGGAACAATTATGTTAGTTAGGAGGGAGACAGGTAGAGAAGGGGGCTTGGCAGATATGGTGATAAAGATGGGGTAACTCCCTCCATAGTCAAAGCATCATTCAGTCAAATGGTCAGCTGGCTAGACAAAAGGGAAGTTAAGATGGAAAGCAAAGCCTAAAGACATGACAGAGTTAGCTAGATGCCTGCCAAGACCAAGGCAGAAAGGAAGATGACAGAGACAATACCTACCAGGCCCTTGTACCAGATGGGGCCTCGTGACAAATTCTCACCAGTAGAATTAAGTAGAATTGTTGTGTAACTTGTCACTGGTGATGATGTGTCCTCTCCATCCTCTCTCCTTGTTAACGAGCAGATTCACTTGGAAGCCTCATGAGGGAGAACTGAGGCCACTGACAGAAAAACTGAAGTCCCTAAAAGCCACTCTCTAAGCAAGAGTGCTGACTTTGGACTTTATGTAACTGAAAACTGAACTTCTATTATGCTGTTTATATTTGTTACATGAAATATCATTCTTAAACAATGGACAAAGCATCCAGCAAATGTCCCCAACTTCAACAAAAATGTCCTCTCACCCCACCTGGAAGCTGGAAGCCTTTGGATAAACAGGTGGGTGGAAAATCAATCTCTACCAGGGGGTGGGAGAGAAGGAAGGAGGGAAGAAGGAAGGAAAGAAAGAAAAAAGGAAAGGAAAGGAAGAAACGAAGGAAAAAGAAATTAAGAAAGAAAAGGTAGGGAAAGAAGAAAAGGGAAGGAAGGGAAAGAAGCAAGCAAGCTATAGAAAACGAGATAATTGGAGGGAAGAGGAGGAAGGCATGAGGCCCCAGGAATGCTCAGTGAGTTCCCCAAGTATGCTGCTTGGGGAACCATGGGCCTGTTCCTGGGCAGGGGAAATAGTTGCAGAGTGAGCCCCAGTCTCTGATTGGCCCCCAGGGAGTAGTTCAAGCCAGCTGGATTAACAGCAGGCCACTCTCAGTGGGCAGTTAATTAAGATTAAATTTAAATGCAAATTCAACCACAATCCCTAAAGGCTTTGGAGTGGAGAGCCTAATAAATCCATTCTAAAGGTCATCTCTGAGAACTAATGTAGAAAAAGATAAGAAAGAAAAATACGAAAAATAGAATGGAGACTCATCAATATATGGAAAAGGACTATAAAGCAAGAGTATTTGAAACATGGTCTCTCTTTAGCACAATTATAAAGTAGTTCAGTAAAACAGAACAAAAATCAGAAAGTACTGGAATACAGTCATGAGCTGCAAAATGATATGACGATCAATGGTGGACTGTGCACACAATGGTGGTCCTATAATATATAATTTTGTTTTGTAGGTATGGCGTCTTGGTTTGTTGCCCAAAATGGCCTCAAATTCCTGGTCTAAAGTGATCTTCCTGCCTCAGCCTTCTATGTAGCTGAGATTACAGGCATGAGCCACCATGCCCAGCTCCATAAGATTATTCCACATTTTTACAATACATTTTCTAAGTTTAGATATGTTTAAGTGTATAAATACTTACCATTTTGTTCCAATTGCATACATTATTCAATACAGTATCATGCTGTACAGGTTTTTAATTGAGGAGCAACAGGCCGTACCACACAGCCTAGGTGTATAGTAGGTTATACCATCTAGGTTTGTGTAAGTACAGTCCATGATGTTCAATGATTAAATTACCTAACAATGCATTTCTCAGAATGTATCCCCATCATTAAGTGATGCATATACTCTACTCTCAAGCTATGAGTCAGGACTAAGACTGCAAGTAAGTTAAAACCCAATATAATCAAGCTGGCAACTCCACGGTCAAAACAAACAAACAAACAAACAAACAAACAAACAAACAAACAAAAACTGCTCTACAATGGTCTCCCATTACAAAATCTGAACAATAACTCTCATTGGCCTCTCTTAGATCAAATTCCTTCCCTGGAAAAATCAAGCTGGGCCAAAAGGATGGGTGAGATGACTGGTCCCACAGAGAACTGATAGCTCTGGGATCTCAGCTTCTCTTTCTAGAAGGATGTGGGGAAGAGTGCTAAGCAGACAAAAGACAAAGTCACTACAACTAACAATTTAGTACATGATAAAAGTATTTCAAATCAGAGACAAAAATACGGATTAGTTAAATGGTGTCAGGACAACTAGCAATTCATTGAGAAAATAAACATTAGATCCTCTCATCAAGCCAGATGTTATCAAGAAAACATGGGAAAATGTCAATGAAAAACTCACTTAATTTTTTAAAATAGGTTGTTTTGTATGAAGAGAAATACTTAATATGTAACTAAGTTCCAAATGAAAAATTTCTGCACTATATTCTATTTCCTCATTACATGGAAACTTATAGAGTATAAAGCAGCTGATGAATCATTTTCTCAAAAGAAAAAACGTCTCCAAATTGTTCTAACACTTGTGAATTATACAATCTTTTTTAAATGTATCCAGTTTCAAATTAAGATGCCTTTTATAGCTTCAGATAACAAAAAGCTCAACTCCAATAGGCTTACTCAATAAGGAAAATTAATGACCTCAAGTTCCCAATATAAAGCGACTTCAGAGCCACTAAATTCAGTACTCTATAGCAATCACTGGCCAAGCTTTCCCATTCTGCTCCCCATCCGCAGACCACCAGTCCTGAGCCACAAGATGCAACCAATAGTCATATTCAGAAGTTTAAAGCCATTATGTTCATTGTCTCTTTATCAATGCTGAAACCTTTCCCAAAAGTCACCCAAAATATTAAATACTTCCCTACACATCCTAGTAGGCACTGTTTCGTCATATGCCCAAACAAAACAATTCCTGGTGAGGAGGGGGAAACTGGACCACATCAAGTTTCTTCAGCAAGGAAGGAGCAGAGAGCAGCTTTCCAATCTGCTACATGGAAATATAGGTAAACAAAGGAGAAAGAATCAAGGCATAATAGCTGCCATCCTGTTATGCAAAGGGTTCCTGGGATCCAACCACTTGACCTGTGCCACTGTACCTCTTTAGGCACTCCTTGGAAATATGTCAAGAGTAGAAAGAGAAGGGTAATTTTTTTATATAGCACTGTTTTTACTGTCAGAGTATAATGAGCACTACTGTTTGCAGCTAGTTCTTAACACAAGCTTGTGTTAACAGTGTACCCTGCCTTTGCATACATTCTGAAATGCAGTATGAAAGTGACTAAAACCCAAGACAGTTGAACACTTCTAAAAAAGGCATTGTTTGGTTTCTTTATTGATGATCAGATCAGCAACAACAGACAGAACTAGTAGTGTGGTACTTCTCCAAAACTTATTATAAAAAATTTCAAACAAAACTCTTAAGAAAGCACAATGAATACCCACGTACCTAACACTAAGTTCAACATGTGCTAAAATTCTGCCATTTTTGCTTCATCTATCTATGTATGTATCTTTTTCCTGAACCCCTTCAAAGCTGCAGACATCATGACAGTTCATCTCTATATATTCAGCATGTGGGTCCTAAAATAGACACTAACATAACAATTATCATACCTAATAAAATGAACTCTAATTCCATAATGTCATCTAATACCCATTCCATGCTCAAATTCCTCCAACTGCCTCCAAAGTATCTATGAGATGTCTTATTGGGCCTAATGTCTTTTGGATTCAATCAAGGCCTATGCACTGCATTTAATTATGTCTCTTTAATAAAAAACAATCCTCCCACCTTTTCTTTTTAAAAATGACATAGACTTTTTGATGAGACCAAGCCAGGAAGCTTATAAATGTCCCATATTCTGGATTTGCCTGATTTATTTTCTCAATTGATGTTGTTTCTATGTCTCCTGTATTTCATTTCCTATAATCTAAAAGTTAAGTCTAAACACTTGCTTAAATTCAGATTTAATATTCTGGCAAAACAATACTGCCAACGTGATATAACTACTTCACACTGCATTTCATCAAGAGAAACATGTCACTACCATTAATGTTACATTTGATCAGTTGGTTAAAGTGGGGCAGTCATTCCATTGTTAAGGTACTTTTTTTTCCAGTTTCAATGAGTATCTGTGGGAGATACTCTGGCACTAACAAGTATCCCATATCCCTCACATCTAGTGATTTTAGCATTCATTCATGATCTTTGCCTAGAGGCAATAGGGGTTGCAAATAAGCAAGTTTCCAAATTCTGTTATTCCTTCTGCATTTATTGCCTGACATTATTCGATAACAAATAGCTTTCCATGATGGATATGAACAACTGCTCCTACTAAAAGGGCAGGATGAAAACCTAATTCTTTCCCCCTAGTTACAAAGGAGTTTGTTTAACAGTCACCTTTAATGGTAGAAATAATAGAAATGACTTTAGCCTCTTTCTCTTTTTTATATCACTGTGGACTCTGGTTTTTGTTTATTCAAAATGTACAGTCAATTAGTCACTCTTTTTAATCATCAAAGTGCCTCAAATTTGGCCAGTGGGAGCCTCTTCTAGCTAGCTTCTGTGTCCTTTCTCACATTCCCATTAATCTTTAAGTAATTCCTTGGTTTCTGACCCAGGAGGTCCCAGGCTCACCTTGGACACTTCAAGACTCAGATCTCAATCCAGCTATTTCTCCAAGGAATCCTGGTTCCTTTAGCAGCATTGTTAGGGACTGAATTTGCTCTTCACTATAGGGTGTTGTTGCTTCTAGGCTCTCTCAGTGAACAGAGCTAGGAAATGTACATATATTTTTTTTATATGAGTGACATTTTCAATTGTCATATTTGTCATTATGGGGAATTTTATATAAATACTTTGATTTTTTTATGGTCATCTCTTAAACTGGAAATTTTGGTTCCTGATAACTTTAACAATTTATTTTTGCTTGAACCTATAACATACAAAATGGATTCAAAATAACACTAATGTTACTAACATGGAAATTAATGAGTGACGTTTATCATTTTTTTAGTTTTTTTGTCCTGAAAAACATCCCACTAACATTGTACAGTGAAAATACTGTGTTCAGAGGTCTCTTTAAAAACTGACTTTTTCTATGTGGTTAAGTTACCAATTTGATATAAACTTAGACTGATTTCTCTATGCTTTTAATTTCAGAATCTGCATTCCTTTTTGAATATGTAAATCAATTTCATTTATTCAGAGGTCAAAACTTCATCAAAAGGTATATACAAAGAAGCCTTGCCTCCATCCTTGGGCCCACTACCCTATTCATTCCTTTCTCCACAGGTATTCATTTTCTGGTTTGTAGTTTATCCTTCATTTTGTAGTTTATCCTTATTTGTAAAAATAAGCTACATATATACACACACATATATATGTACATACACACATTATATATATATGTCCATGTGTATATGCATATACACACACACACTTCCCCTTAATTCATACACAAAAGGTAGCAAGCTATATAGTTCCCTGTATCTTTTCTCACTTAATTTTATATACTTCAAGTTTGGCGAGCATGTCACTTATAATGTATATTGTACTATAAAAATACAAAGAAACACTGGTGGCATCTAGTGTAGGAAACCTGTCATAACAGTGCTTAAGCTATGGGGAGACATTTCCTACTGACAACTATATTGAGTTCCACTATGTAAATCAAATATATACAACATATGTATGTTGCCTACTAACGTATGTAAGCCACACTTATCTCAGGTACTCAAGTATCTAATGCTGTCAGCTGGATGCTGCAACTTATGTTTTTCAAAAGGCTTCATAGTCCAACAATGAATATCATTAGCATTAGATATATTTGTTGTATTTTCAAAATTTGGTAGCACAACTGAAACATGAATTATATTACATTATTTCTAGAGAAAAAAAGTATCTCTATCTCCTAAATTGACAGATGTCTCCTTGATCTTCTCTGTTTATATAATGTTTGATTTTTTTCTCTTAAAGGCATTCACACACATAAAACATTTATATAGTTTCACACCAATAACAATTACCTGATTTGCAGTAAGCTGTGACTTTGTAAATGCTTTTATACTTTTGTCACATTGTTTTTCCCTGTGATTTCTCTGAAGCATGTACTGTATTTGATTTGTTGGTAGATATTATTATACAGGATGTTCTTAGAGATCACTCCCCATTGGAGTTCTCTCATATTTTGTCTGATGACATAATTTTCCCATTTTCATTTCATTCATGGAGAGCCCGCCAGCCCCTACCACTTGTGTATTTTCTGATGCCAACTAAGGACTAAATTTACACAAAAGGAGTTTTCCACATTATTACATTTATAAGGTTTTTTCCAAAGAGTTTTCTCTGGTGTGGTAAAGTTTGACTTCACACGGGAGGATTTTCCACATTTGTTAGAATTTAGAGTATCACTCTTGTGTGAATTATCTGATGACTAGTAAGAGTTGACTTCTTGCAGAAGGTTTTCCCACATTCATTACATTCATAGGGTTTCTCCCCTGTATGAGTTCGTTGGTGCACTGTGAGGGTTGATTTCATACAGAAGGATTTCCCACATCTATTACATTCATAGGGCTTCTCCCTTGTGTGAGTTCTCTGATGATTGATGAGATTTGACTTCACATAAAAAGTTTTCCCACATTCATTACATTCGAAAGGGTTCTTCCCTGTGTGAGTTCTCTGATGGACAGTGAGGTGTGATTTCATGCAGAAAGATTTGTCACATTCATTACATTTATAAGGCTTCTCTTCTATGTGAGTTCTCTGGTGAATGGTTAAGGCCGACTTATAACAAAAGGATTTGCCACACTTATCACACTCATGGGGTTTCTCACCAGTGTGTGTTCTCTGATGTTCAATGAGATGTGACTTCTGGAAGAAAGTTTTCCCACATTCATTACACTCATAGGGTTTCTCCCCTGTGTGTGTTCGCTGATGTTTAGTAAGGTGTGACTTCTGGAAGAAGGTTTTCCCACATTCTTTACATTCATAGGGTTTCTCCCCTGTATGGATTCTCTGATGTTGACTGAGGGCTGATTTCATATAAAAGGACTTCCCACATTCATTACATTTATAGGGTTTTTCCCCTGTATGAGTTCTCTGATGTACAGTTAGGGTTGACTTATGGCGAAAAGTTTTCTGACATTCATTGCATTCATAGGGTTTCTCTTGTGAATGTGTTCTCTGATGATCAGTAAGGTTTGACTTCATAGCAAAGGCTTTCCCACATTCATTACATACATGGGGTTTCTTTCCGGTGTGATTTCTCTGATGTATATTAAGATGTGACTTCACATAGAATGACTTTTCACATTCATTACATTTATAAGGTTTCTCTCCAGTGTGAGTTCTCTGGTGTATAACTAAGGTTGATTTCATATGAAAGGACTTCCCACATTCGTTACATTCATGTGGCCTCTCCCCTGTGTGAGTTCTCTTATGTTTAGTGAGAGCTGACTTTTTGTAGAAGGACCTCTCACATTCATTGCATCCATAAGGTTTCTCCCCTGTGTGAGTTCTCTGATGTACAATGAGGATTGAATTCATAGAGAAGGATTTGCCACACTCTTTACAGTCATAGGGTTTCTCCCCTGTGTGAATTTTCTGATGTTTAGTAAGATTTGACTTCACACAAAAGGCTTTCCCACATTCATTACAATCATAGGGTTTCTTACCTGTGTGAGTTACCTGATGTATAATTAGGGCTGACTTATAACAGAAGGATTTCCCACACTCAGTACATTTATAGGGTTTCTCTTCTGTATGTTTCCCTTGATGTACATTTAGGGCTGACTTACAGTAGAAAGATTTTCCACATTCATTGCATCCATAAGGTTTTTCCCCTGTGTGTGTTCTCTGATGGTCAGCAAATTGTGACTTCTGGAAGAAAGTCTTCCCACATTCATTACATTTGAAAGGTTTCTCTCCAGTATGTGTCTTTTGGTGTTTAGTTAGGTTAGATTTCACACAGAAAGATTTCCCACATTCCTTACATTCATATGGTTTCTCCCCTGTGTGAGTTCTTTGATGATGATTGAAGTTTGATTTTGCATAGAAAGATTTCCCACATTCATTACACTGATAGGGTTTCTCTCCTGTGTGAATTCTCTGATGGACTCGTAGGGCTGAGTTATGACGAAAAGGTTTCTTACACTCATCACATACATAAAGCTTCTTTTCTGACTGTCTTCTCTGGTGATCAGTGAGGGATGACTTCACAGGGGTTTTACCACATTCATTGGATTTCTCTTTTGGGTGAGTTCTCTGAGAGTCAGTGAGTTGTGATTTCGGGAAGGTTTTCCCACATTTATTACTTTCACATGGTTTCTCTCTTATGTGTGTCACGTGATGTTGAGTGAGATGGCACTCCTGGCAAAAAGATTTCTTGCAATGGCTACATTCAAAGATTCTCTTTCCTGTGTGAGTCCTATGAGGTTGTATAAGATGTGACTTCTTGCTGAAATTCTCACTTTTATTAGTTTCATGGGTTTTCTGTCCTGTATTAACTTTCTGATGTTTAAAGAGGACTAACTTCTCACACTCATTAACTTCAGAGTGATTCTTCCTTGTGTGAGGTTCCTGATGAACTATAGGGGTTGACATGGCACTGACATTTTCCCCATGCTCCTTAGAATCACAGAGTATCTCTCCTAGTTCAGACATCTTATGTGTTATGATGGCTGCCTTCTCAGGGAAGGTGTTTCCACATTCATTATCTTCCAAAGGAGGTCCCCAAATTTTGACTTCCTGTTGTTCAATAAAGTGCTCATTAAGACTTGAGGATTTCCCACCTTGGTTATATTCATCACATTTCTTTCCCATGTGAGTCTTTTCTTGATTATCAAAAGGCAGCTTCTCACATACATTAATTTCATTAGAGTTCTTACTTGCATAATTTTTATTACTAATACTTGATTCTGAAACATATTTCAAACTCATTCCACATAAGTCATACTGGGAGGGTGTTTTTCTTGAAGAAACTTGGTTTGGACCCAGATTAAGTGCTCTTCCAAAAACATTCTTTCTCTTCTTAGTGAATGTATTGTTGCTGAGGAGTGAACTGCCCCACAAATGTTTATCTTGGTTTTCCTGGCTTCTGTTTATCAGGTCATTTAATTTCTGGACTTCTAAAAATGAGAAAAATTAAGTGTACTTTAAAAATTTTAATACATTTTTTATATAAGTGAGATTTATTATATCACTGACTCTATATTTTCAGGCCCAGGATCCTAGGATAAAATCCCAAGTATATATTTCTCCTTGGTTCAGAAAAACTTAAAATAAAAAACATCTGCTATATTAGAAAATGGAAGGGAGAATTAGCAATGAACACATATATTTGCTATTTTTAAAAACATGACCCTCAAAACTGAAAAGAGAAGAGGAAATTAAACAAGAACAGTGAATAGAGGGCAAAGCATGACAGAGAAACTCAAAAATGGGGTGAGCCCAACAGAAACCATGAACAGGAAATGGAGTGAAAAGGAATGTTAAGAGATATAGATGTTAAGAAGAAATATTACAGGAAGGCTTAGATGTGTTATAATAAAGATGATCTCTCTCTCTCTCTTTCTCTCTCTCGTCAACAGATAAAAGAAGATCTATATTAGTTGTTCAAGATAACCTTACAAAAATAAATATCTTCTAAAATATTCATTACCAAACACAAGTCACAAGTCTGACAGATTCTTATGGTCAGCTAACTTGTTAGTCAACTTTGACTCTACTAACTACTCAGATATCCTCCAAGAAATGCACCTCTCTCCCTCTCCCCATTTTGCGTTCCCTCCCTCTCTCTCTTTCTGTCTCTCTCTCTCACACACACACACTTTTCCACATTATGTCCCTTAAACTACATTTTCTTAAAAACCCAAATGTAGTCATTATGTATACTTTTCATTAACACAACTTTGAAAAGTATTAATTTTATCTAAATAGGACTTGATAAATACAGAATTTCAAAATGTATCATACACTTTTGTTTACCTCTCCCAACAACAACCTATGCTCCTAGCAGGTGCTAATATATTCCCAATTGCCTTTGAACTTCTCTGAGTACCTATATAGTTGGTGGCCCTCAATAAGCAGTATGCATCTGAATTATTTGGAAACTTTGATTCAAAATACAGGGTATAGTCTGTCATGGTCCCATGTCAATCTATATACCCTATGAATCAGAATCTAGAGGGATGTGAAGTAGACATATGTACTGGTGAAGTGCTTTCTTAATAAACATATCTATGCGTATAATAGATGAACATATCAATTATATATTACATAGGAAAAGAAGAGTAAAAAGGAGACCCTTTAGGTGGGGAAAATCATCAGGTGTCACAGTATATGATTAAGTCTAAGTTTCTTTTAGTTCAACCACCAAGTGAAATGGGAATTCCAAGGAGAGATTAATGTTGACTAGAGTAATTATGAAGCACTTCAAAACACAGGTGAAAAGTTTAGCTCAAACATAAATTATGTTTGAGCATTGCAAATATTAAAAACAAGCACTGCAAATATTAAATACATCCCAGGCACAGTCCTAAGCCCTAGTCTTAACAGGATCTGAACAGACAAATCTCAAGAAGAGGAACAGATGTTGGGAAGATATGGAAATAATATTTAGGAAGCCAGATCAAATGGAACTTAAGACTTTTGTGAAACAACAAATGGATCAATATGGATTGGTGTGGTATTCATTTTAAGAAGAGGTGTCTTAATAGAGGGCAGCCCAATGTTTACATAAGGCTAATGACAAAACAAAACATATTTTAGGTTTAAATATATATACTTAGAATTAGTAATCAAATAAGTCATGAGAGAATAAGGTTCTGATTTTGAGTGACATCACTGGAAAATAAAAGATATGAGAGTTTTCAAAAGGGAATAAAAAACAAGAGATCAGTATAACAAATGGATGATTTTCATGGTTGGCAGATATAGAAGATACATGGTAGAAACTAATTAACTAGAAATAAGAAATGTGAGACGATATCTAAGTTGGTAGAGTTGATGTTGGTTGTTGTTTGCCATTTTTACAATGAAGGACTAAAACACCTCAGGTAAAATGGAGAGCAGACTGCAGATGAGACCAAGATAGAGAAGGTGACATTTTTCAAAGTATTAGGTAAAGCAAAAAAAAAAATTAAATCTTAAGAATGGACAAGGCACTGGAGAAAATATTATACAGAGAGGCTTGAGGACTCTTTGCAGAAGAAAGATCACGTGATAGACACTGGAATTGTAATTTTTTTTTCCAAGTGTGAGACTATAAAATGGTATTTCACTATTCAAAAAGTAAAAAATAGTTTTTACTTGTCTATTTGGGAAATTTTTTCCTACCTCAAGATCACAGATATTACAGTTTTAAACATATTCCACTATACCTTTTTCTAAAGGTTTTATAGTTTTGACTTTTAAATGGATTTCTGAATAATGGTAAAAGGCAGAAATGTTTTCCCCCATATGGATAATTAATTTTATCAACACTGCTTATTGGGTAATCTCACCTTTGTTAGTTTCTCTCATATATCTGATTTCCACTTACATATGAAGCTGATTCTGGGCTATTTCCATCCCATTTATTTTTATATCAATATCACACTCTTCATTACTTATATAGCAGTATAACAAGTATTGGCATTTAAGAGGGCAAACTCCCCTACAACCTAATTCTTCTTAGCCTTCTGTAATCTTCGGGTTATTTTTTAACTTTACTCCTGTATACAAAATCTGAAGTCCTTCATGTTTTAATTAATTGTCCTATTGATTCTCACAAATGACTTGTTCATTTGGGCTTGCTAATTTTTTGTTTTGAGATCCTATTTTTGGAGCCCTTAATCTGTGGTAATCCCTATGTCTAAAGTGGAAATCCTTTCCTTGAAAGATGATTTTTTTCCTATCTCCTGGAAGCCAGGAAAAAACTAACACTATGACTAGGGATTCATTCAGCCAGATTTACAGAGCCCTCACTCAATCTAGAAGTCTCAGCTTGCACTTTCCCATCTGCTTGGCCCCAAAGTACTGAAAATCAGCATTTGCCTTCTGGACAACCTCAATTTTATGTCTGTGTTCTGCCAAATGACCCTTCTCTAGTTTCAGCTCATTATTAGAGTTTCATTTGGTTTTGTCTCTTGGACACTGTAGATTTCCCTTGTTTTAGAAAACCCAGAAATGTATTAAACTTCTTGTTATAATTTATTTGGATTCTAATCCTATCATAATTACAGGGCCCTTCAGAGTATCCAGCTTACCATCCTGCTGGAAGCAGAAATTCCCATTCCTTTTTTTTTTCTTTTTCTTTCCAGCACATGATGTAGGCGAGAAGGAATCCCCATTCTTGTTTGAACCTCCACTTATCATGTTTTACCATGCCATTCTCCAAAAACTTTTCTTGTTAAGATCACAACTAACACCAAATTCAACATTTCTTAGTCTTCATCTTAATCTCTCAGTGCTATGTAACATTTTTTGAATAATATATTCCCAAGGCTCAAATTTCTAAAGATACAAAAAAAGCACATTGAAAAAGCTCCCTCTGGGCGATGTTTAACAGCCACCCAGCTCCTTTCTCAGAAGCAAGCAGTCATATCAGTTTTCTGTGCATCCTGCAGGATATTCTAGGAAATGTTATTTGAGATGTGTTATTGGCATGTATACAGATTCACTTAAGAGAAATGATATCTTTAGTTCCTGAGTCTTACTATCCTTTAGTGACTTCCTATCTAGGAATATGATACAATTTTGTTTTAAAATTTTACATATATATAATACATTTGTTCCTAGTTATTTTTAAATTTTTGTTACTCTTTTAAGTGAGATCAATTCATCTTTCTTATCTTTCAACTGATTGTGTTCCAACTGAGTTGGCCAGATATACGATCACACTGTCTCCCAATAATGATTTTATCTCTTCCTTTCCAACTGTAATACAAATAATTTATTTCACAATTATTACATTTTCTCTTTCCTTCCTTCCTTCCTTCCTTCCTATTTTCCTTCCTTTCCTCCCTCCCTCCCTTCTTTTTTTTTTTTTTAATTGAAACCGGGTCTTGCTGTCTTGTCCAGTTAGAGTACAGTGGCATGATCACAGTTCACTGCAACCTCAAACTCCTGGGCTCAAGAAATTCTCCTGCCTCATCCTCCCAAGTAGCTGGGACTACAGGCATATACTACCATGCCCAGCTAATTTTTCTATTTTTTGTAAAGATGGGATCTCACTCTTGCTCAGGCTGGTCTCAAACTCCTGGGCTCAAGTGATCCTCCCGCCTTGGCCTCCCAGAGTGCTAGGATTACACACACCAGCCTCCACACCCAGCCTTGATTATATTTTATAATTCATTCAAAATTTTAAATAATGGTAATATTAGTGGACACCCTTATTGTAGTGACTTACTTATATCTAGAATTTCCTCTTTACGCATAAATGGGATTGGAAGACATTTTTTCATCTAATTCTATTTTACTGTTTTATGCCTTTTGAGTAACTACAGAGAAAAATCTTATTCCCTAATGTTTTAATATGGTGTGCTTTTAACATGCTGTGGATTGTATGTGCTAATATTCTATTTGTGATTTTGGCATTCATGTTCATAAAAAATAGTACTGATCAGAGGTCAGCAAACTTTCTGTAAAGGACAGAAAATAATATTTCTGTAAATATTTTAAGTTACGTGAGCAACTTTTTTACAAGTTACATGAGCAACTTTATTACACTTATCTTGTTTGTTATTCAAGAACAAGCATCTTGAATCTGTAAATGTTGTGTCTTTCATCAAATGTTTAAAAAGTTTTTGACCATTATTGTTTCAATTTTTTTCCCCACTAAGCTCTATTTTCCCTCTGTTATGGGATGAATGTGTCCCATAAAATTCATATGTTAAAGTCCTAACCCATCTAGGACCTCAGAAGGTGACTGACTATATTTGGATATAGGGTTTTTGATGAAGCAATTAAGGTTAAATGAGGTCACTAGGTTGGGCCCTAATCCAATATGACTAGTGTTTTTACAAGAAGAGAAAATTAAGACATAGACATGCATAGAGATAAGACCACTGAAGATGAAGATGAAAATGATCACCTACAAGTTAAAGAGAGAGGTCTCGGGAGAAACCAACCCTGCCCACACCTTGCTCTGGGACTTGGTCCACCCCCCAGAAGTGGAGAAAGTAAATTTCTGTTGTTGAAGTCCCCAGTCCTTGTTATGGCAGCCGTATGAAATGAATACACCCTCCTCTGGAATTCCAATGACGTACATATGAGACCTTTTGGTATTATCTCACAGGTCCTTGAATTTTGTTACTGCTCTTTCTTTTTTCTCTCTCTTCAGACTGAGTGATTTCTGTTCATCTATCTCCACATTCACTAACTCACTTTGGTTCAGATCACATGTTCTGTCTTCCCTATAATGGTCACCAGTTCCAATATCAGTTCAGTTTTCAAAGACTCTGTTACCCTGTATTGTGTCTGACCTGAACAGGAGTCACTTGAGTGGTAGTCTGGGGTGTGGGCAATGGTTTTTTGTTGCTACTGAGTTCTCAAAGCCTTTGCTATGCTGCTTTGGGTCTAGCCCATACATGCAGGCCCAGAGTGAGCCTCTCACACTTATACCAGACTCATCACAATTCAGGTGATTCTTTTCTAGCTCTTCCTTCTCTGGGATTCTCCACAACACTATTCAACTCCCAAAGGCAACTTTCCTGGGTCTCTGGCCAAAGGAGGGGTTTTTCTCAGAATTTTAGCCACAATTCCATTAAGGTAGGGCCACCTTAGAGCAAGAGAGGAAGCAGCAAGAGAAAAGAGAGTAGGAAAAAAACAAACCTATATAAACCTTCCCCCACATTCTTCGGTCCATAGGTTCCCCTTTTCCTGTTTTCTCTGGCAAGAATGACAAAGTTGTCCACATAGTCTTAGCTGCCCATGTACCTACTACCACATGCTACAGCACAGCCCCATAACTGGGGCCACCATTAGGGCAGGACTAGAAAAGGAAAGAGAGGAAAACATGGGTATCCCCCCATATACTCCAGCTTCATGGGTCCCTTTTCCCAATATGTGTTCAGAAAGAGAGGGCTTCTCTTGGAGTTTTTGCTGCCTTGCTATGTGTGCAGTTCTGTACTGGGGTCATGCTAGGGCCAAAGACAGGAGATAAGCAAAAGAATAGAAATAGGAAATTCACAGCCATGTGAATCCTTTCTTCAATTTTTGACTCCCTTCCCAATTTGCTTGCTATTGTTTGATTTTCAGAGTCCTCAAGTAGCTGATTTTTGTATTACCAGGAGTTTTAGTTGTAATAAGTGGGAAAGACAGGCTATATTTACTTTACTCCATCTTGGCCAGTGCCAAAAGTAGCATTTATTTTAATTGGTAAGCTCAGTATGTTTATATTTACTATTTCAAGCAAATATATTTGATCTCAGCTCACATTTTTATGTTATGCTGTTTATATTATATAGAGAGCTTTTTCACTGTTTACATTGCTTTATTCAATGTGTGCTGCTTCTGGTAACAAAACCAATTATATATCCATTTTACTTGTTACTTTTAAAATTATAAACTTTTTTTTTTTTTTTTTTTTGAGACAGAGTCTCACTTTGTTGTCCAGGCTAGAGTGAGTGCCGTGGCGTCAGCCTAGCTCACAGCAACCTCAAACTCCTGGGCTCCAGCGATCCTTCTGCCTCAGCCTCCCGAGTAGCTGGGACTACAGGCATGCGCCACCATGCCCGGCTAATTTTTTTTTTATATATATATCAGTTGGCCAATTAATTTCTTTCTATTTATAGTAGAGACGGGGTCTCGCTCTTGCTCAGGCTGGTTTTGAACTCCTGACCTTGAGCAATCCGCCCGCCTCGGCCTCCCAAGAGCTAGGATTACAGGCGTGAGCCACCGCGCCCGGCCTAAAATTATAAACTTTTTACAATACTCTCAGTTATCTATTTCTTTAGATAGTTCTCAGTGATTCCTTACTATGAACAATAAAGAAATACTATATTTCTCTCCATTCTTCTATATCTTACCACCCAATTTTAATTCATTTGTTAGTGGTTATATGGGATGATGATATATACTTGATTGGTTGGCTTTAAATGTTATACTTTGATGCAACCTCCACTATTAAAAATGAGAAACCCAGCATATATAACTTTTTTCCCACCAGTTTCCCCCTTCTTCTTCCCATTTTTATTCAAATGTTTTTTTACGTTTTTTTACATAGACAGTCCAAGTCTACAATATTCACACTCTGTCCTGAGACTCAATACCCACATTAGTTTAGGATTTAGTTTTCAGTTAAATTCAAGACTCACACATTATCTCCCGTTGAATTATATTTTACTATCTCTTAATTGAAGTTCATCTTCTTTGAAACGGGTTTATGTGAATATTCTCTGAATTCTTGAACATTTAAATTTATTTCATTTTTATCATTTTAACTGATATTATTATTATATTATTATATTTATATTTTAGAAGTCCCTTACATTTTCTTCTGGGTAGAGCTGCCCTAGAATTCTCTCATTCTCTCTCTCTCTCTCTCTCTCTCTCGTTGTAAATGCAAGCATGCTAGGTTGATTTTTTTATTGCTTTCAAGAGTTCTTCTAATTACTTGATAGTTTCAGGTTTTAATCATTACTCAGATTTGTAGGAAATTAGAGTCCATAACTTGTGTCAGTATTCCAGATGATTTTGGATTACTTACAGGAAGAGAAGGGGGAAATGCTGACTTCATACGTCGATATTCAAACCAGAAATTCCTTCTTTCCTTCTTGAAAAGCACCTTTACTTGGCTGACAGGATATCATAATCTCTTGGCTTCCTCCTACCTCCTGCACAGTACTATTAAGTGTTGTAAGGTCCGGTCTCAGCCTTCTCTCATCTACTATCTACATCCATTCCCCCAAGGCACTCTCATGACTGTGCATATCATCTTTTAATGATGATTTTCAAATTTATATACATACTCCTGTCTTTTCCCAGACTCCAAATTTTAATAATGTATATCCAAGTACCTAATCAATATCTAAACTTGAATAACTAATAATCACTTTGATATTGACATTTCTTAAAGTAACCTCTTTAAAATATTTCCCCACACACTCTGCTTCTGTGCAGTTTTTCCATCCCAGTATACACATCCTCTCCCCCATCATCATGTTGCTCAGACAAAACTGAGGTTTATCCCTAACTCTGCTCTCTCTCTCATCCTCCACAACTAATTCCACAGCAATGCTACTGGCTCTACTCTCAAAACATTCAGCCACATTTCATCACCTCCACTACCTCAAAGTCTAAGCCTCTATCATTTCTCATTTGAACCACTACAAACATCTCCTAATTGTGAGAGCTGAATCCATCAGCACCCACACAGCTAACTATCTCCATCAACGTGACTCCTATTCCACTGTCTTCATTAACATGACTTTATTATTCCAGGAAACTCCTGCCCAGAAAGATAACACTTGCAAACAACTTTGCTGTTCATTTTGGAGATTCCCCAAAACTCTTTTAACCCATTGACTGCCATGTGAGTTGTATTTAACTCAGGCTAGTTTTGAGCCCAGGGCCTCAGAAAGCAAAACTCTACATTTGGCTCATGAAAATCTTACTTGTTGATGTTCTTATTGTTACAATTAATATTGACAACTTAATTCTAAAAACATGGATTGCATAGCATATACCTCACACACAGAAAATAAAAAATAACAAATTAGAAAGGATCATTTTGTTTTAATAAAACACTGTGGGCCCAGGTAAAAAAAAAATTTTCTAGTGTGGAAGTCAATATGTTAAACAGCCTGCCCAACTTTCCCATAGATAATCAGCTATATATTCTGCAGGACTATTCAATCCTCAGCATGTCCACAAATCCTAACCCCTCTCTCATGATCCTTACTCAATAGTAACAATAATCAAGCTTCTGCATTAAAAACATACCTTAAATTATACACTCAAATCACAACAATAATTTGACTTTGTTCACTCTCTTCCAAGATGCTACTAAGATTGTCAGGGTGAGCAATGAATTCAACTTTGCCTTTTAAAAAGGTTATTTCAGTGGTATTTGGGGGTCGCCGTCATTTCACACTGTCTTTCTGTTTCTACATTTGTCACCATCCTTGCTTCATCTCCAATTTTCTCTGTACCATAGCCAGATAAATTCTCTTTAAACATACTCTTTTGCTGAAATCCATTAATAGCTACCCATCTCACCCATATTAAAGTCAAAGTCTTTACCATGACCTGTAAGACTGGACATCATCTGACTTTGGTTATCTCTCTGATGTCACCTCCCACCAGCTTCCCATCAGGATACTTCCCTGCAGCCACACTGGCTTCCCTGCTAGTCTCAGAACACTTCAGACAGACTCCTGCCCCAAAGACTTGGCCTGACTGTTCCTTCTGCCTGGAACTCCCAGAAGCCACACAACTCACACACTTACTTCATTCAACTATCTGCTCTAATCTAAATCTCATCAAACAGGCATTCTTTGACCACATTTTAAAAGAGCAGAACCCATTCTCTATCTCCTTTTAGCCTGCTTTAATTTTCTTCATTGTTCTTATTACCACCTGACATTTTATTCAGCATATCCCCAAAAAGAAGAACATGAGGGCTACAGAGTAGGCCTAAAATGAGTATCTTCAGAATAAATATTTTAATGAATTAATATGAGGAAGGGGATAAAAAAGAAAGAGTCCATGAAAATGGAGGGAAAATGAATACTAGAGAAACAAAGAAAAAAGGTACAAGATGAGGCAGGGAGAGATTAGATTTTAGGTATAAGAATGGTAAACTTCCCTATAAGTTAAGCATTTGTATTTATGAGTGATAGATAAATGAGTAATTCAGGTTATCTGAGACATAGTCCAAAGGTTCCAACCCCTGAACCAACCCATCTGGGACCTCATTTCCACTGGCTTGTTTCTAGCCTGGTGATAACCTACTCACGTGGATAACCCTGGCCTGGGCATTCTCCATCTAATGTCCATGGCTCTTCTCCTTGCTCCAACTTGAAAATCACATCAGGTTTGGCGATGTAATATCCTGTGAACAAGATACAGGGTGAGACTTCTGATGCACTGCCTGGATACTAGGGCTCCTGAAGGACAGGAAAGTGCTGCCTCAGGAGTCCCACAATAAAGGTGCCCATCTGAACCTCTCAGTAGGGAGGTGAGAACACATTCTTTCTATGGCTAAAATGGAACGATCATCATTGTCCCTGGAAATGTACACATGAGGCCGGGCACAGTGGCTCACAGCACTTTGGGAGACCGAGGCGGGTGGATCTTTTGAGCTCAGGAGTTCGAGACCAGCCTGTCCCTACTAAAAATAGAAAGAAATTAGCTGGACAACTTAAAATATATAGAAAAAATTAGCCAGGCACAGTGGCAGGTGCCTGTAGTCCCAGCTACTCAGGAGGTTGAGGCAGGAGGATAGCCTGAGCCCAGGAGTTAGAGGTTGCTGTAAGCTAGGCTGACGCCACGGCACTCTAGCCCGGGCAGCAGAGTGAGATTCTGTCTCAACAACAACAAAAAAATAAATGTACATATGAATATTATTAAACTCCACAAAGGGCCCGTAAATTCTGGCAGCTACGAACTAAGAAAAGAAACATGCTGTTAGGCATAACATAGAGAAAACTTCTCACCTATGGAGACCAGGTGACTGTAATTCTCCAGCATCACATCACGGTACAGGGTCTTTTGAGTACCATTCAGTCGTAGCCATTCGTCTCGGGTGAAGTTCACAGTTACATCCTTGAATGACACAGATCCCTGAACAGTACATGTCTGTTCAATCCAACATGATCAGTATTGGATGGCATGAAAAAGATATGTGGGATATTCTTAGCAAATTTATTTTGAGAACTTACCATAAAATATTATGTAGCTTGTAATTATTCCCTTACCTTGTTTTGTGTTTTACTTTGTGGAATAAAGAGATAGCATGATAGAAACAGTGTATTACCTTATTAATTTTTTTTAAAAAAAGCTCCTATCATGTGTCTTAAACTGTCATGGCTTTCCAGGAATATTAACCTAAATAAATCCTTCTTTTCTGCCTTTTAGGAGTTTAAATGTTAGCAAGGAAACATTATATTTATGAACATTTATCCTGTACCAGAGTATTGTAAGAGTTATACTAGAATCATTTACAATCAGTGTTAAATAATGGTAGAAAATACGGTTCTATTTTATGCTATTCAATGAAGCCCAGCCTGAGAATAGATCTTCATTAATGTGGCATAATCATATACACAAAGTCAAAGAGGCATGAAAAACACACAGCAATGTGATACAAGAACGGCTGAGGTCTGTAGGATGATAAAGAGCTGCAAAGGTATTTAGGGATAGATTATGAAGTAATCTAAATTTACTCCCATAGTTTACTGGTCTCCAAAATACTTCATCACCACCCTAGCAATAAAGTTTTGAGCACTCTCAATTTGTTTATTTTTAAATAAATAATATATCAATCCTGCCAATCCACACTATAATGATAAGCTTAATGCTGCAGCACCCAATCCCCAGGCTGCAGCCTGGTACTGGTCCATGGCCTGTTAGGAACTGGGCTGCGCATCACCACCTGAGCTCCACACCCACCCCCCAATCCCATCTGTAGAAAATTGTCTTCCATGAAACTTAGGAACTATGTGGGCCACACAGCAGGTGGTGAGCGGCAGGCAAGGGAACAAAGCTTCATCTGTATTTATAGCTGCTCCCCATCACTTATATCACTGCCTGAGCTTCACTTCCCCTCACCCCTATTTATGGAAAAATTGTCTTTCATGGAACCAGTCCCTGGTGCTAAAAAGGATGGGGACCACTGGCTTAATGTATCCCCCTTTTTTCTGGTTAAAAGGTAGGTGTAGCAACCTATTATTTTATTTCTATATGTCACTGAAGTATCTTGTGCCTCTCTAGGAGGTAGGAAGTAAGTGTGATGACTGAGGATAATGAGAAGCCAACAAAAATGTGCAAGCCATCACTGAGGCCCATGGACAGCTATGCATTTTGGAAGGAATGCTCTGGATTACAGTGCTGTCCAGCGGGCCTTCTACTATGATGGAAAAGTTCTTTAAGAGAACCAGTAGGAAGCTATCAGCCATATCTAGCTACTGAGCACTTGAAATGTGGAAAGTATAACTGAGGAAATGAATTTTTAATTTTAATTTTTATTTGCTTTCAGTTAATTTAAATATAAACTTAAATAACCACATATAGCTAGCCACATGCTCAAGGAAATAGAGAAAAACATGAAGATTATAAGGAAAAAAAGAAAGATATATAAGCTCAAATTTTCTAGAGGTAAAAAATACCTCTAGAAATATTGAATATTGAAACAAACAAAAAAGGATTAACAGAAGATTAGACATTTCAAAAGGAAAAGATCTACACAATGTAAACTAAAAGACACATCAATAGAAACTACTCAAAGCACACTGGAGAAAAAAAAATGAGAATAAATTAACAGACCATCAGTGACCTGTGGGAGGACATTATTAAGCAGCTGATAGGGATCACTAATGACCCAGAAGAAGGGAGATGGAAATAGAAAAAATATTTGAGGAAAGTATGGCCAAAAGTTCTCCAAATTTAGTGAAAATTATAATTCAACAAGTTCAAGTTCAAAGATCCCTAAGGAGAATAAACATAAATAAAACCACACTAAGATACAGCATGATAAAGCTTTTGAAAATCAGTGACAAAGAGAAATATCTCAGATGTGGCCAAAGAAGAAGATAAGGGTTATTACAGACAAAGAAACAAAGACAAGAATGACAGCAGACTTCTCAACAGAAACAAATGAAGGCTACATGTCAGGAGAGTAGCATACTGGCTGAGGAAAAAATAAATCCTGCTAACCTAGAATTTACAATAATATTCACCAAAAAATATATTTCAAAAAAAATAAAGACTTTTCAGACAAGCAAAAGCTTAGATAATTCATTGCCACTGACTTATACTACAGGACATGTTGAAAAAATCAGAAGGAAAAATGATATCAGATGTAAATTGGATCTTCACAAAGAAATGAAGAGCACCAAATGGCTAAACATATGTGCAAATATAAAAGAGATTTTTTTTCTAATTTTCAAAAATTTTAAAAGACATTTGACAACATAAAGCTAATAATAATAATACCAATGTATTCTATGAATTAAAGGCATGGTAACAATTATACGAAAAGAAAGAAATGAAAAAATGAAACTGTTAAGGCTCTATATATGAAGTAGTATAATATCATTTAAAGAAAGAGTAAGAAATCAAATATGTATATTGTAACCCCTGGAAAAACTACTGAATGAAAAGGTATAACTAAATATCCAATAGTGGATAATAAATGAAGCTATAAATATTATCAATTCAAAATGAGACAATAAAAACAGAATTAAAAAAAAAAGATGAGACAAATAGTAAGATGCTAATCATTAAACCAAACAATATAAATAATGTTTTTTTTTGAGACAGTATTGCTCTGTCGCCTGGGCTACAGTGCCGTGGCGTCAGCCTAGCTCACAGCAACTTCAAACTCCTGAGCTCAAGCGATCCTCTTGCCTCAGCCTCCTGAGTAGCTGGGACTACAGGCATGAACCACCACAACCAGCCATTTTTTTCTATTTTTTGTAGAGAATGGGATCTCACTCTTGCTTAGGATGGTTTCAAACTCCTGACCTCAAGCAATCCTCCTGTCTCGGCCTCCTAGAGTGCTAAGATTACAGGCGTGAGCCCCATGCCCAGCCTATAAATAACATTAATGGTTTAAGCACTCCTATTCAGGGCAAAGATCATTACAGAAAATAAAATCCAAGACTCAACTATATACTATCTACAAGAGACCCACTTTAAATAGAAAAACAAAGAGAAAATTAAAAAGGTATAAAAGAGACATGAGGCACACATAAATCAAAAGAAAGCCACAATGGCTATATTATCTGCCTGAGGAGAATTCAAAACAAGAACTCTGCAGGGTAAAAGGGCAGATGAGCCAATTCAGCAAGTGGACATAATATTTAGCATATGCTAAATGTGTATGAACCTAATATTTAGGATACAGGAACCAAAAACTAATAGAATTGAAAACAAAAATGGTTGTATTTACAATTATACTTAAAGACTGCAAATCCCCTCTCTCACTAATTTACAGAAGTAGACAGAAAATCATCAAGGATTTATAAGACTTGAACAACACTCTCAACCAACTGGCCTCAACTGACCATTAAAGAATACTACACCCAACAACAGAATACACATTCTGTTAAATTGCACATGAGATATTCTCCAAGAAACAGCATAGTTCTGAACCATAAAACTAGTCTAAATAAATATAAAAGGATTCAAATCATATGAAATATTCTCTCTGACCACATAATTTGAAAGCAATAAAAAATTAGAAATTCAATAATCAAAAACTTCTGGAAAATTCCTAAGTATTTAGAAACTAGATAATATACTCCTAAATAATCCAAGTATCAAAGAAAAAAATACCAGCAAAAGAAAGCATTTTGACTGAATAAAAATGAAAACATAACATATAAAAATTTGTGGGATGCAGCTAAAGTAATATGTGCAGGGAAATTTATAGCACTAAAAAGCCTACATAAGAAAAGAAAGATTTAAAATCAATACTCACCTTTCACCTTAAACTAGAAAAAGAGCAAATTATCAGAAATAAAGTAAGAAAGGTGAGAATAGAAAATAAAACAGAGAACAGAAAAATAGATAAAAATTAATAGAATATAAAGTTTGTTTTTTGAAAATATCAATATAATTTTCAAACTTCTAGCTATACTGATGAGAGAAAAAGAAGAGGAGAAGGCACTAACAACAAATTACCAATATCAGGAATGAGGGATGACATCACTAGAAATTCTAAAAATGTAAGCTGGATAAGAGTATATTATCTATTCTTCTACCCATTTATCTGAGTTCATAACTTAAAGCCTTTCCATGAAGACAACTCAAGGCCTAAAAGTTCACACCAGCAGATCCTTCTAAACATTTAAAGAAGAACCCAATAACATTCAAACTGGTCCAGAGAACAGAAAAAAGGGGAATACTTTCTAACCTCTCCAGCCAGCACAACCTTGTTACCACCCAAAAAGGAAATTACAAGAAGGAAATTACAGGCCACTCACGAAAACAGTGGTGAAAATTCTAAACAAAATATTAGGAAATCAAATCCAGTGATAAAATAAGGGAAATGTCATGACTAAATTAGATTGATTCTAGGAATAAAAGATTGGGTTAATATTTGAAATTTTATTCAATAAAATTTGGCTTATTTACAGAATAAAGAAGGTCCATGATAATCTTAAAAGGAGGAAAAAGCACCAGATATAATTTAATACCCATTCATAATAGAATCTCTTAGCAAACTATGAAAAGCAACTTCCTTGATATGAAAAGCAGCCAACATAATGATAAAATATTAAAAGCTTTTTCTCAGACACTGAGAAGGAAACAATAATCCCAGCTTTAATTTTTATGGTAAGACAATAAAGTTTCTATAAGAAACACAGAAAAACATTTCAGAACCTTGAGGTAGGAGAATATTTCATAAGCAGGATGCATAAAAGCACCATTCATAAAGAAAAAGACTAAGTTAGATCTCATTAAAATTAAGAATATCTATTCATCAAGTCAATAAAAAGAAAGTGAAAAAGGCAAGCCAGAACTGGGAGAAGTTTTCTCCAATGCCATATACATGACAAAGGATTCCTCTCCTGATGACGTAGAGAACTCCCATAAACTGATTAGAAAAAGACACACAATCAGAAACATGGGCA